TCCCTATCTTTCGGTAATTGTACGCGTCTCGCAGATTCTTCGCATAATTTATGAGCGGCTGCCTTCCCTCGCTTTCCCTCGCAGCCTCCGCTGCTATCGCGTCAGCGGAGATGTAAATCGGAACAGCCGGTGTATAATCCTGTCGGACCACGAAGCGCGAACGCGCGATGTAATCAGTATTAATACGTCGACGTCATCGCGTCGCTCAGTCGCCAATATTTGATTGCGCTTGACACCCACAATTAATCCTCGTCAATCTGGTCTCGTCGAGTTTAATTTCCATTCCCAATTAGACCGATTACGCGAAAATCAATCTCGTAATTAAATATCTCCATTAAATCCGAGTAAATATCAGTCTATTTCTAAAAATTAACATAGATAGAAATTATATTACGATTATGAATCAATAAATCCTCCGATATTTACAATGTTATATCACAGTCGATATTAAATACGATATTAAATACGATGACGGCAGTAATGACGCAAGCTCTGCGCGTCCACTTTGCTTTTATATTAATTTATATATAACATCGTTAATTCTTAATGCTTCTCTCGCGGCGAAGTGTATCAGCTTTGTCAATAGCGCACGATAATCCTTTGGCCTTTGTATCTGTATGCGCGTTAAAATATTATCATCTAAAGTGGCATCAGAGGCAAACATAACAGCCGCGGGCTGCTGTTCGGAGTCTGTCAAGAGGATCAGGAGATTAAATATGCCATTCGGATAATAATTTTAATAACCGTAATGTGCTCTCTATGATCGTCATAAGTATTTAGCTCAACTTGGGAGTCTTTTTACTTCATAAGCTCGGTATATTTTTACAATTGCGATTTATATGTCGAGTTGCATTCCCGGGAGGGAAAAAGGGAACGAGGATGGCGTTTATATTTCACGATTCAAAGATTACGCAAATGTTAAGCCGACATGATTTATCTCGTGTTACATGTAACTTTATAGATTTATTGCTAAAAATAATAAAAAATATGAAAAGATGTAAAAAGAAATAAAATTTGCGGAACAAACAAAACATTTCTAGAAAAACTAATTATTTAGAAAAATATATCTTGTTGAAAATTTCTCAAATATTGGGCAACAATTTTTCTTATCAGTAAAAGAAAACTTTAAATTCAGCATATTTATAATGGCGTATTTATAAGATAAGAAGATTTCGTTTATTTTCGACGTTTTCAGGAAAGAAGCGAGGAACTACAAAAAGATACTTATAAAAAATGTATAAAAAACAATTAAAAGGGATTCTATTTTTAGAATAATTATGTCGTTTTAGTCTATTTTAAAGGTGTCAGTTAAACCATCATTAGATTCGTTTAAAGCTTGAAGACGTATCCTGCGATTTTCCAAAGTTCTTGCTTAAGAAAAACTTTAAGCCTGTTCAGCGACAAGCCATAAATTGTGCGCGTGTAGCCAACCAAAAAATTAGGCGAGACATGTCTTTCCGAACAATCCGAAAACTTTTAGAAACTCGTCGACCGCACCTGAGTCCAATTAATTATCGCGTTTATTAATTCAATTCAAACGAAACATTTCCTGCTCTGTTAATTATGCACTATTAGCTATTGCACACACATGTTCTCTATTCGTGTTCTCTTAGCTTATATATTTCCTTTTGGAAAAATCTGTCTGCAATGAATAACTTCATACTTTTCTTTAATATTATATAATGAAAGGATTATACTAATGAAACTCATAATCCGTGGATTAAATGGTGCATTTAATGGTAAATGTACGGTGAAATATACGGTGAAAAATGCGGTGAATACCTAATTAATATCTATCTAATTAAGATAGCTTAGTCCATGTTAATAGTTAGACTTATACATACATATACGTATAATGTAGTCGTTTCATATTTACAGATTTTTTCTAATCGAAACGTAATAAAACATCTACACAGGTTGTCGCTTCAGATATTTTTCGTAGGAGGCAAATCAGCAGCGGCTAATCCCAAGCACAAACAGTTTATGGCGTTTGTTCGCTCGGCACTTCTACCCTACGCGACGACCCCGCGTATTCTCACGGGACCAGTTTGCTCGGGACCCGTGAATCGACTATCAATCTATTTAGCAATGTCCGAAGGGGGCTCTCTTTACGACACTGATTCCCTTCAAAAGCTCGGCGAAACTCGTTAGAATTATTCTCAAGCTTCAATATAGCGTATATACTTTAACAACGGCGATTACAATATGTAATAAGCTTGTTCATCTTATTGTATTTTCTTATATCTTATTCATTTAAAGTGAAATAATATTTATTTATTATTAGAGTGAAAGAAAAAAAATTGCAAGGAGATGTAGCTAAAATATAACTAAAAAAAAATTGCAAGATGATGTGAAAAATAACTAACAATAAAAAGAACATGTAATAGAAAGTCATGATATAAAAATATCCATTCAAAGATTTCTACGAAATGCAAATCAGTACGTACCTGAAAACGCAATACAGACGCCAACAGTCGGAAATGACGACTGTCACAATTCGCAGTTCACAATTCGAGTCACGATCGCCAGGCGATGATCAACGTCCAAGCTGATTTTCTTCTCCAAGAAATTCTCCTTCAGCTTTCTTTCTTCGGTTGCAACAAAGATTTTTCTCAAATATGACGGGCACTCGTTTCCTCAGTTACATCGAAGACTTTTCAATTATGAAAAAGTAAAGACTCGTCGCTTTTCTACTGTAACAACGACTATTTTTTCCATCTAGGACAAGGCTTCATTTTCTTTTTCACGACAAGGACTCGCTTCTTCAACACCAATGATGAGTAGTTCAATCGCTTCTCCCGCTCCTTCAATTATACAACGTCTAAACTATCTTAATTACGATACAACAATTAAACCTCCGCGTCCCGACGGGGCAATACTTGTTTCGTACCACTGCGGCCGACTACGGGACGCGTTCAGAAACAGGTTTACTCGCGAGCGAGCTCGACCGTCCACCGCGCACGGGGTGCGTGTCCGACCGTGTTTCTCGTCACCCTCTTTCTCTCCGAACGGCACCCCCGCGACGAGCGAGAGCGCTAAATCGGGACTCGGATGGTGAAGAACCGCCCCCGAGTGTTCCACCCCCGTGACAACCAACCCCACGCCGGCGAAGGCGGAGCTTCCTGGCCCTCTCCGTGGGTGGCTCACCTCAGGGGTAACTACAAACACGTACTTACCGAACGTTATTATTATACCCGCACTCGACCCACGCGCGCGCGAGAGCACACAAACGGGGATGAAAGAGAGAGAAAGAGAGCAAAGGAAAGAGAAGATGATAGGGCGCGCGTGTACGTTCGGACTTATGACAAATTACAAAGTGTTTGAGTCTTATACGCGTTTAGTAAGGATTAAATCATAAAAAAAAAATTTGTTTCAAATTTGTATCATTAACATTTTGCAAAATATTCTTATTTTATTTATATCTTTTAATTAAATTAAAGAATCCGAGTATTTAGAAAAATCTGTTAAGGAAAGATTAACTTTAAAATTTCTCTAAAGAATTTCTCGCGTCGATATTGTTCTACTTATAAGCGAAAAATTCAAGAAGCTTTTAGTTGCTCGAGTTTTAAAGATATAGATAAGGGTAAAAAAAGTTTAATTCTTTGATTAGTTTCAGGAATAAGTTTTGTCTCACCAGAAACTTTGTTACAACTTAATAGCTAAGATATTTAATATCAACAAAAATTGACCATAAAATTTCTTTTACGAGGAGAAAACTCTAATTTTCTGTCAATGAATCTCTCGCTATTAGAATTGGATGCAAAAGACTCTGTACATTCGAAGGGATATTTTCGCGGAAAACGATCCGAGACATCTTTTTCGTGCGCGCATCGTGTTAGGACTTCCTCCGACGTCGCCAAGGAGCGCGTCTATGTCAACGGCAATATTCAAGACGATTAAAGAGCGCGCACGAGCGTCTCTGTTCGCTCGTGACGCAAATTAAATCCGCTTAACACGGATCTGTACGAGGGGAATAGGACCGATTTGCCGAGACGCTTTTGATCGAGAATAACTCGTCGTAGCAACGGTGACAAACAAACGACATTACATCCTGGACGAGCGACGACGCCCTCACAATCGGAAGTAACGCGTCTCGAAATAACATCCAATATAAAAAATATTTTCTCACTAAAAACTTATAAAGAAAAACATATAAATTTAGATAAAAATTCAATAACACATTTCTATCTTTTTATTAAAGTTAATTTCGATGACTGATCTATATAGTTTTTTTATAGCCACTCATGTAAACGATATGTCAAGGTGTGGTATTGCAAGGAAAGAGAAGTGATATCAGAAAAAAATGATTATAATCTCTTTGCGTATCTTTTTCAACACCCTTCGGCGAAGGCTTCGTTTAACGAACCGCAAAGAGGCTGGTACAGTTTGTACCCCAGTTGGCCATTACGATCTTTCTTTTTTGCTGTTCTCTCTCCCCCCGTCCCTCTCGAATCCGTAATAAATATTACGTCAGGAACCCCTGCCAATTATGCCGGACTACTCCGTGCGTCTCTCTCTCTCTCTCTCTCTCTCTCTCTCTCTCTCTCTCTCTCGTTCTATCTCGACGAAAAGTCACAATGCGCGAACATAAGGTCCGATCCGGAGTTTCATGATCGCCCCCTCGGCGTTGTTACCATCTCCTCCTACCCTTCACACCCTCTGCGCAGTCGAGTGCTCGAAAATCCGTGACTGCGTTATTTTATTAATGCCCGTCGTGAGCGTCGACCATCGCCGCTAACACACCGCCCGATGACACTGACAGATAGCGGATTAAATCGCGTAATTCAAAATTAAGGGATGCTTTTTAAGTAAAATTGAAACGCGGGAGTCTTCCGAAACGATGTAATCTAGGTCGCAACTAGAAACAGGTAATTTCAGAAATTAATATTGCGTGTGGTTTGTAACATTAAAATTGACATACAGAATTACTGCTTTATCCTTTTTTTCTTCTGTCAAAACTAAGTAATTTAGAAACCATATTATACACTACATATAATGAGTCGTAAAACTTCGTATAAAAGGGTAATATGTATACAAATATAAAAGGTAATAGTTAATCATTTTTTCAGAAGACATTTCTCATTTTGTCTAAAAGAAAAAAAAAGAACAATGTGCCCCTCTTATCCGTTCGAGTTACTATAAAATAACCGCGAATATCCCCGTGAAAATCAAACGGGCACCGAATGTTTCCCAGTTAGTGGCCAATTACTCGTAGCGAGCATGTTCGATTGCCACGGCGATAAAATTAAACGGGCTTTATTACCGGTCGCCCCGGAATAACGATGCGCCGGCGGAACGATCGAGGTAACGAGCTGCCGCGATGATACCGAGCTCCGCTCCAAAAGAAGATGAAGTGGTTAAGCGCGCGGATCTCTCAATGGACTGCCGATGACGGGGATCGCTTTGATGAGGGCGCGTGTCGGGTATTAAAGCTACCTTCGCCGATCAGACCGCCGACCGCACGCGGTCGATTTGCACGAGAATCGACTCTCTCGGTGAGTAGACACGGTTGTAGCGAGTGGGTGCGCTGATAAGTTTGCTTTTCGATACCGATCAAATCCGAGAGCGGAGAGAGAAAGCCTCTCACGTCGGCCGTATAATGATCGAAACTGCTGCTGTGGCTCTTCTCGAAAATTGTAAGGGGGAAAACATGAGATCGGTGATCGACGTTCACGAAGCGATTATTAACTATCTCCTTGCGTAGAAACACACACGTGTCTCTTTCGCGGTTATCGTATTTAATAGCAATAACGTTCTTCGGCAACCCTGATTCAATCTGTCATTAATATGAATTTTATTAACATGAATCCTTAATTTTTTACAATTAGATAGTCGTTTGCAGCTCTGTAATATCGATTTTCTATATTTTTGTGGAGATCACATAACTTGAGAAAAACACATAGATATAAGAAATATAAATTTAAAGATAGATAGTATAAATAAAATGTATCCTAATTTTATTATGTATCTTAAAATTTTGATGTAATTGTATATTGCCTAAATATAAAGCAATTTTTATTCGAGTGATATAATTCAATTTAAGTTACAGTTCTACAATTTTATCAAGTACCAAATTTATATTGCAGAAGAAAATATGTAATTGGCAATTCTCTCTGGACATCTAGCATTCTTCCATTTACGATTCGATTCGAGAAATCCAGAAACTTTGTTGGACCGAATCATTATCCAACGTGTACCAAACGATGATTTGGGGGCACCATGCGGATGCTACATTGGCATCGTGCGTGCAGACCCATGTTTGCTATTTGCATAACGAGCTTTGGTCTCGAGGCGCGACATCGGCCCGTTCGGGGGCGACGATGCGTGCGAAATTTCGCGCGAGGGTCGTAATCGACGCGCCGAGGTTTCCGTTTGTGACACGCATGACATGCACGCACATCACGCATATATACATAGGGCACACACATGTACGGAATAGGAGGGCAAGGCAGAGGAAACGGGGAGGGGAACGATACGTTTGTAAGGCGACGCGATTTCCGAACGCTGCGGCCGTCGGCATACTGCGCAGTCAATTAGTTTAATAGGCCGACAGTTGTGTTGTCCGATCTGCCGAAAGGAAGGGTGTTGCTGCGCGTCGGGTATCACGCCCCTACGACGGTATCGTTACCGTCGAGGATGGTCACTTTTCAGGAAAGCGTCGATACTTTTGCCTACTCCAGCGATATCAATTTTAATAGTATATTAATGTTAATTATATCGTATATTCCAATTATAATTAAGAAAAATTATAATTGGAATATAAATTTTTTTTAACTCATATATATATATAAATTATATATAATTGTGAATTATAATTGAAAATCCTAATTATAATAAAATTTGTTCAGGCTTGCGTATTGATGTACTAATTATTTTTTAAATTAAATACAAAATTTTTTAGTTTATGTACTGATAACTCTTTAACTTACCAGAAACTAATCGAAACATTATAAACATCATCTGCAAGAAAGCTGTGAGCCACTATAATAACAATCAAATCGTGAATATCTTCTTATTTGCGAGTCATATACGATTCGATATTCTTTCGATGTGTCTCTTAATAAAGTGATATCCCCCGCGATATGATTTTTAAAGGGAGTTTCGGTATATCTTAGGTCAGGTTAAAGTTCATTTGTCTCTTTCGCGGTTATCGTATATAGCAATAACGTTCTTCGGCAACCCTGATTCAATCTGTCATTAATATGAATTTTATTAACATGAATCCTTAATTTTTTACAATTAGATAGTCGTTTGCAGCTCTGTAATATCGATTTTCTATATTTTTGTGGAGATCACATAACTTGAGAAAAACACATAGATATAAGAAATATAAATTTAAAGATAGATAGTATAAATAAAATGTATCCTAATTTTATTATGTATCTTAAAATTTTGATGTAATTGTATATTGCCTAAATATAAAGCAATTTTTATTCGAGTGATATAATTCAATTTAAGTTACAGTTCTACAATTTTATCAAGTACCAAATTTATATTGCAGAAGAAAATATGTAATTGGCAATTCTCTCTGGACATCTAGCATTCTTCCATTTACGATTCGATTCGAGAAATCCA